CACCTGGACAAGAGCCAAAGACACAAACAAGTCACATATACACATTTAAATCATTTTTTTTTTCTTAAAGTGCAACCTTATATAAAAGTTTATTTAAACCACATATCAATGGAAAATCGCTGCAGGGTGTTGAGACTGGCAGTACTGTAAAGACCCCCCAAAGAGGCCATTCATGAAATGCATGCCTGTTCCTGCTAGAGCAAAACATGGCGCAGCCATTTTGGAATTTTAATTGAGAATCTCAGTAGTGACACACAAACTTCTGAACAAGCTTCAAACCGCAAACACACAGCACAGGATGAACATCTGCGCAGGACTAACATTTACGTTTGTATAGCGCAATAAACATTTACAGTTTCGTTTTAAACCCCAGAAGCTAAAAAAGGAAACCTCACAGTTAAAAAAAAAACCTCACAGTGTCCCAACTTCTGCTCCACCGAGGGAAAAAAATCATTTCTTTGCCTTTACCTCTTATAATAAAGTTTTGCTACTGTTGGGCCAAATCTTACTTTACAAATTTACCTTAAAGGAAACGTATGCGCCGTGAGGCATTTTTTATCCTTATGAACTCAATTACAAGTACAGAACATTTGCATACACAGTTCTCTGTTTGTTGTTTGTTTATTTTAACGGCAAAACTATTTACCTTCCAGATAATACGCTGTACAGCCGTCTTCCCACAGTTTCTGAAGAAGCAGACCCAGAACCGACGTCGGAGTCCCGCTGTCCTGCCAGCCCACGGAGCACTCATCGTACAGAAGGACCGTGTCCGTCTTGCACCGTCTCATGAACTTCTCCTTATCCTCGTGGTTGGGAATGATAGCCCGGATAGGTATGTTTCCCTTTCTGAACCTCCGGAGCATCAGCCCCGGAATGGCCAGGTTTATGGCGGTCTCTATATGGGATGATTCATAAAGCTCATGTGAACGGCAGTCCAGCAGGAGGAGAGAAGTGCCCCCGGACTCTAACTCGAGTTGCAGCCATTCCACGCTTTTACTCGGCGTCACATTAGACATATCGGAGTCAATAGCATACTACTCGCAAGTGCAAACACTAACTACATAGTCCACCGATCGACGAAAAAAAAACAAAAAAACAAACAAAAAACAAAATAAAAGAATAGAAAAAAAGCCCTACATATCACCCGGAAAAAAAGACGTTAAATGTTGCCCCGCCAGTTCGTGGTGCTTCTGCTTGAGCGAAGAGATTTCCCCTTTTTCCTCTTCTCTATTTCCATCAGTCAGTGAGTCTGGTCTGCCCCCAACAAAGCAAAGACTCAGTGGAGACCTATTTGCACTTTAATTTACGAGACACACGTTTAAATGTGGACGCTTTGTGGCCAATAGTTTCTTCATCAACTTCAACTGCTCCACATCGTATCCGGGGCATCCATGCGCATTCTCTTCTTACCATTCCGATGCATGCATGGGAGGTTTTTTTTTTTTAGTTGACAGTAGAGCAACTCAAGAGGGAGGAGTTTTATCCTTACGATTTAAAGTCATAGCGGAAATATAGCAAAGTTTGTTACGACCAAGTCTCAATGAAACCACTTTTTGTCAATCGCCGTATCATGAGCGAAACATTTCTTTGCGATTTTGTAACATTATAGCGAGTTTTTATTTAGAAGGGAGCTGTTGGCACTCGGCATTATTACATTTTAGTAACACTGGGCGATTTTTATTATTTTCTAAAGTATATTTCCCCCCACCCTTTGAGAACATGTAGGTTAGTATAACAGATATATTTGCGCATTTGTACCTTGAGGTCTAACTTATCCTTTGAGATGCTTAGAACTGAGGTGGAACTGCAGTGGTCCATATAATGCATTATTATTGTAGCATTATCTCTTGGTCACAGCCACGTTCCCCTGACCAGTGTGGAATTTTCTGTGGGACCTTCATGATACCCCTTTGAAACCGAAATCCAATGATATACTGCACTGTAGCTGTCACTATGCAGTACAGTCCAGTTCATTACATAGACTGTAGTGTGTGGTGCAGTATTTAAGATTAAAATCACACCCTTCAGGAGGTAAAAAACAAAAATGAGATTAATTCAGACACTTTTAGCTGGTGATTCATGTAGTTACATAATATTTGTGTCATCATGATGATAATATTCATAATCAGATTGGACACACCCCTGAAGGTGGAAATAGAAAAAAATTCACACCTCTTCCCTTTAAACTAATTTCCTTAAATTTAAATATCATGGGGACTGCTAAGTGCGCTGTCGTGCTTTACTAAAAAGCACAACAGCACGGTCCTCCAAGACATTGCCATAGTACATCACTGGTGTATAATAATGCACTCGGATTGGGAGAAATAAGAGAAGGGAAAGGAGAGAGGGAGAGGGTGATGCGTGCAGTGGGAACCCAGCCATGCAGCTCATCCGTCTGCACACGTGAGTGGGGGGACACACAGATGTGCAGGGCATCGGGATTAACACAGTATGAGAAATGGAGCTAAATACACTCACATTCACACACAAACGCTCGCAGCCACAAACTGATCAGACACTCCGCAGCACGTATCGTATCACTGCCATTCTACACCTTACTGCCGTTTCAGCACCTGCAGCCAGCAGCAAACTTCCTCATCATTTCAAGGGGTCTGAAAACCAACGCGCGCGCGCGCGCGCGCACACACACACACACACACACACACACACACACACACACACACACACACACACTGCCTGTGGGCCTTCATGCCAGCATGATTTCTGCTCCAGTTCAGCTATCTTACAGGAAGTGTAGAAAAGTTGGACCTCCCCTAAAACTTTCCAATAAGGAACTGAACAGCCCGTATCTACAAAGGACAGTGATGGGAAGGGAAGTAATGTGTGATAATGAGGTCAAACAATGCACAAGACCCTAAATGCCAAATTATAGCCTCTGTATCATACGTCTCGTGTGATAATATCTATGAATAATGTAATAAATCAAACTCTACTAAGTCAACTCAATGCATAACAAGGACATTCATTTAAATAAAACCAAATATGGGTGTGCTCTGAGCTAGCAAGACTTGCATCATATTGGTGGTCTACTCCACTTCCACCGACACGGTTACATAACGGGCTCTAAACGTGAGCTCATGGTAATTCTCCCAGAGCAAAGAGGGGAAACGTCTCTGCTGCAGAATCCCACGTCTTTCATGTCAAGTGCTGCTTCAAGGGCTTCCACGCAAACACGGTGGATGCACAAGCACCCTCCTATAATGTCCGGATGCACAGTTAGATGAATTAAGAAATGAGCAATAAAGCAAGTGCTTCCTCTTCATTGATTTCTGTCTTTGCGTTGGAGTATGTTAATCTAATCATGGTGATCACGGCCTACAGCATAGAGCACCACTATCACGTAAGAAAAAAATACTGATAATACTGCTGTTACAGTTATAGCAGATTAAGTCAGTAGTTCATTTAATTGAAATTAGTATCTAAAATCTCTGATTTTACAGTTGTGCCATGCTGTGAGCTGTGTGGAAGTGTGTTTGTCGGATTTTAATACAACCAATGTGATCTCACGTGTTATCTAGATGGGAAACACAATATCCTGTTTTCTGCTGATACCCTCTAGTGGTTCATTACAAAAGCTGCTGCACCAGTTATGAGTCATCTGCAAAGGGAGGTGGTGTCTGATGTCACTGCCTCACAGCTGCAAAGAGGCGGCCCAGTGTGCCTCCATGTGGTGAAGCCATGAATGTCACAAAGGGCATTTCATGAATGAAAAACCAGATGACCACAAATCTGCCCTTAAGATCATTTTGCATGCAGAAGACTACTAAATTGAACATCTATATCTGTTGTTTCATATGTTTCACATTAAAAATGAAGACAGAAGAATATTTTAACAGTAAAATTTTTTTTGCTTATGCTATTTATTTTATTTCCTAATCTGTAAAACGGAATTGCAATCACCCTTTAGCATGCCTTAGTTGCAACAGATATATCTCTGTCAGGAGTAAAGCATGTAATAAAATTCCTCATATATCAGTACAGCACATATGCACCACAGATACCCTAACTGTCATATAAATGTATGAAAATAAAACTGGATGAGCCCACGAAGACATAAAACAGGATCTGATCGGAGATCATTTTGGGCTGCTGGATAACTGTGTATCAGAGTGCAGGATATTTCATACCATGGGGTTGATATATGTAACAAACCCAGCACCAGCACACAGCAACCTTACTTACTGGAATAAATGAAAAATGAAAATGTGAGCCTTTGGAAATATGGAACAATACAGAAGACCATTAGTAGGCTACTGAATTTAAGCTGAAACAGAAGGTCAGCCACAGTAAAAGAAGATGTGTTAGAAAGCATAGTGGCCACCTTGGATTAAAAAAGTCACACCATGCACAATTTGTGTTGGAAATTGTGCATACCTTGCACTGAAAGCAGACGTATGCTTTTTGTTTAGCACAAGAGGCTGAATGTCTGAAGAACACAGTATGAAGTAGTCCTTTGAATACAATGTCCAAGAAAAACAATGATTTTTAAATGGCACAAAATTATAAGATTAAACGTAACCAAAGAAAAAGATTTGAAGCTTGAGAAATATCGGCAGCAAATCATTGGCCAGATAAAATGAAAACAAATTTGTTAGGATGACATGAGATTGACATGGCCATGGACTACACTGTCTGCATACAGCTGAATCTGATGTGCACAATGTATGTATGAGTGAAAACAGTAGATGGAAGTAGGGGTAAAGGTTTCTACACTCCAAGAATGACAGAAGATTTGAAAACTATGGCCTGGTCATAATTGGATTCACAGTTCAAGACTGAAGTGAAAGGTAGAGTAACAAAACTCTTCCAACAAACAGCAGCTGAAAAGATTAATCTGAGAAGAACGCAAGAACATCTGTCCACATATTTGTCCATTGCTGTCATCCTTTTCCCAGAATACTCAAATATATTATTAAAAAAGAAATACAATTAAAAATATTAGAAAATCAAAGAAATCCAGTAGACTAGGAACACGGATCATTTATTTAAATATATGTGAACATAAAAACCTCTGATGGAAACTATGTTCAGTATTTTTAAAGTTTAAGTTCAGTACCTCTGAAACAAAAAAAGGACATTTTACACATACATGTAACAGCTAATTCATGTAAAAGCTGTAGTTTTTAAAAAATGTAAAAGAGTTCATTCGTGCTTTAACCACACACAGACCGCATGTTTATTTTAAAAAAAAAACAAAAAAAAACAATACAGCTTTAATATCATGAGAATTCAGTGCTTTTGGTGATGTCAGGCAACTGCTGATATCATGGGACTGAGGACTTTGCAGTAAGACTTCTCTCTCACACTCATCTTTCAAAGTGAACAAGTTGCTGGCAGAAGTTGCACTCTGCTAAGGCGGGCGACCTCAGGTCCAAACCCACTTCCTTTCATGTTTCATCAGCCGATCTGTGAAGACAAAGCAACACAACAGATGCACTGACGACTGAGAATTACAGATGTTGGATAACCTTAACGGCTTAAATACTGACCAAATAATCCTATCATAAGCGAGTTTTTTAAACCATTAGCTGGTTCACTATCTGATGAAGCTATAAAGTAATACCTTTCATCATCTTTGTTACTTAATGGCCAGGCATATTATTGAGCATAAAAGTCAACTTTTCTGCATTTTACACTTCAATATGGTGAGGAGAACTCAACAAAAACAGGATTGGCAACTGAATTGTTAAACTGACACTAAAAAAGTAGTCCATCATCTGGGGAGTGTGGTCTGGCAATGCGCAGCAGCTCCTCTCCTTTACCCACGGCGGGGTAGTCAATCGCCTGAACGTTGATGTTGTCACAAGACATCATAGTGTCACAAACCACAGTGTTCTTCTCTGCATTTCCCACAGTCTTAGTCTCAAATTGAATTTTGAGTGTAAGACGGAACTCATTCTATAAGAGAGATTTACAGAATCTCTCATGGCCAGTTTATTAGGTACACCTTTTGAACTACTTGTAAATGCAAATATGAAATATAATCATATAAGTATAAAAAAAAAAAATCAAAAGCGAGTCCAACTTGTTACTAGCAAAGTGGGCCTAACTAAGTGTTTAGTGAGTATACGGTAAAAAAACATTATCCAGGCATCAAATGCCTGTTTCAGAACCAACTGTCCTGTCAGCTAAAGATTCCAACAGCATAATGTGTATGAATTTTCTTACTTGGACAAGAATAATGTGGTTTGGACAGTGAACCACAGGAAAGCCAGAATCCATCAGCATCTGTCGAAGCAGCTTGACAGTCGTCTGATGTTTCCTTCTGAGCATCTGGCCTTCTTCACTTTTCAGGATCTTAATGTATTCCCCTGCCAACAGCATGGGGGGCAGAGACTTGGTAGAGAAGAAACCTGCAGCACAACAGGGCACTGTGTCCACCAGGGGCTGGTGCTGGCAATATAGCCACCTAAACAGCTGATTGCCATAGCTGGATATTAAATCCTCTATAAAACCTATGCAGCAGTTGTCAGAAAATGTTTGCTCTCACTGATGAAGTGTCCACTTACAAAGTGTACCAGAGATGATATCCATTTTTTTCATGACTTTATCTGTCTTCAATCCCTCCTCCTCTGGGGCCTTATAATCCTCTAGCATGCAATTCATCCACAAATGTAATAGCACCAAACTTGTGAGCAACGTTGCACATCCCTTCAAGTAGGCACACCGCTCCTGCAGAGAGCACGGCATTGAAAATTAAAATATTTTTATTCATACAAATCAACAGTTTGCATTTATTTATTCATTGCTGACCCTGACGTGTATTAGATGTGTGATTTCACTGAATCCACTTACACAGAGAGTAATAGAAACTTCTAGAAATCCTGTACATTCTAATTAAAAAGAATAGCTGAACATTTTAAAAGCCCAATTAAAGACATTCACACTAAAAGGAGGACCACGTACTTACCATCCATTGAACGGATGGCAACGATTTTTGAAGTGGAGGAGTCCGATTTCTCAAGTAGCTCTTGTAGGCGGCTGGCGTCATTGTGACGATATAAACTTTTTAGCCCAGCTGTTTCTTAAACCCTGAATCACTGACGCATGGTTTCCGGCTTCCGAGTAAATTTCACAACCTTGCAGAATAAACAAAAGAAAGAAAAAAAATCTCTCCAATACATTTCAATCAAAATAAGAAAACGTGTAACCATTCAAAGACATTCAACTTTAGGTCACTTATTACATTAGTTTAAGCCAAAATTGAAGTAGCTGGTAGCATCTTTGACAGGGTAAACTATGTAGAGTCATTGGCTACAAAGCAGAGAGTGAACAGCTCTGCTACATCCTTCCAAGGGAGGTCAGGTAGTACATAATGAAGATCCACATGGAAGTTGCTTGTTATTGAAATGTTTGGTGCTCCTCCTGCACTAGCACCATGCTTTTGTACAGCATATCTTCAGAACAGAAGCAGAGAGAGTTTACTGTCCTGAACCCTGAATTATTTTTCTCCATCATATTTGGTCTAAACAAAAGTAACAAGAGCTACAGATGATCAGCGTGAATACTCACATGATAGCCTTGATGATTTTGGGGTGATGGCTCATGCCTAGGTAGTTGTTGCTGCACCACACAGGAACATCTCTCTTTGTGTGAAAAAACTTTGAGTAGTTTTCTGCTATAGGAAACGAGGAGTGAGATCAGTTCATCTTCTTAAAAACTCTATATGTGTGGTCTGGGTTTTTTTGCTTTATATCTTCTTTTTAAAAACTTGTCATACTGGAATGCAACAGCCGAAAACAAATTGTGGAAGAAGGGTTTTAAACTTCAGATCAGTTTTATTCCCTTTGAAAATAATTGTGCAATAGAAGAATCAGCTTACATCCAGGTAGTGTCAGGTGTGACACTGGAAGATAAGGGTTTTTCTGGCTCCACTGCATTGGCCTTGTGTGCCCTGATAAGATCCACAACTGATAACTTCATGTTCGTTTTTATTATTCAAGTATGGCCCATTCAGCAGTCTTCAAATGCATGACATTCCTCGGGTATGCACATGAACTGTCACTAAACTGTGCATACTCAAAACAATGACCTTTCACCTATTGTTTTTCTGCACCATCTCTGCAGTCAGAAAAGGGTATTTAGAGCCCACAGCCTGAACAGCTGGGGGAGTAAAGTGTCCTGTGGGCAACTTCAATTTACATTTCGGATCTGGAGTCAAAATTTTTTATTACAATCAGATCACTGAACACACACAAAGCTGAAGAGGGCAAGGCTCTGGACAGAGGACTGGAGGCCATGTCAGTCATCACTGGGCACTTTAGTGCATAACTCACCAGTGATGACCTCCCACACAAGTAGAAGAAAACATTGGGCCCAAAATTTAAGAAAGGGCTATCAGCGGATTACTGCATCCATATGAGGGAGTCTAAAAGAAGAGGTGAAAAAGAAATATTAAAACCCTTGGGGAAAGGCAGGAGGGTAACCAATTTGTGTGTGTGTGTGTGTGTGTGTGTGTGAGTGAGTGAGTGAGTGTGTGTTTACGTTCGGTTCGGTTCGATACTTTGGTGTCACGGTTCGATATTTTTTCGATACAAAAAAAAATGTTCATGCTTTTTAATTTGTCATTTATTACATTTTCACAGCACATTCGCACCACATCTCTGTGCGTTATCATTTGTTTGAAGCCAGCTCACCTCCTGCAACACTTTTCCGAGAATACGCGCTTCTTTTGTGGTTCGGACTCCTTTGACATTTCTTTGGAGGTGGAGGAACATCACAGTAATTGCTTAAAGGAGCTTCTTCTTGACATCTTTAAGAGTTCTAAACAAATGTCTGTCCTCCTCCATGAAAATCTTATGTACGCAAACACGCGTTGCAACTTCTTATCTTGTGCGCGTTTTTTATTTTGACAGCGAATGCGCACCTGCGGACCACTTATGTGCAGCCCCTGGTTATTTAGCTCGTCATATTGCAGCCACAGAAATTCTTTTGTCCATGAAACCATAAAGCTGCACTTTCTTTTTGCCTTATAGTCTGATTTGTCATAACTTTTCCGTTTTGTGGTAAGCTTTTCTTTGGCTGTCACTTCTTCACCCTGACCTGTCTTATTTGGCTCAGCAGAACTAAAATATATATCCTGCTGCTTTTACACACACACACATAAGGTCAGCGATTCTCTGCGCGATCAACCTCTCACATGTTTAAGCTTGCGGGAGATTTCACTTGTCATGTTTGCATAGTAAGCTAACGATTGATAAGACGATGTCAGAGGAATTGGTGCGCAAATTATCATCACTCACAATCAGTGCTGTGCATACATCATCGGAATTATTACAGAGAAATGGCTCTTTCCAAAATAAAAGCTATACTATACGCTTCTTCTGGGCTATATTCTCAGCAGCATATTGTAGCGGGTCAGGGCTGTTCGGGGTTCTGTTTGTACAGTTATGTTTTGTTTATGTTGCCATAGTGACGGGTGACGCCCTCTCGCTGCGACGGTGTGTCCTTCCGGGGTCAGAGGGCGCCTGTGTGTTGTTGCTGTGCGGTTGCCGCGCTGAGCAGTTAGCTAGCGGCAGTGTTCTTCTGCAGATGTCAATAAACGGCTGTGCTCCCTGGCTAGCTCACGGGAAGCAAGACCAAACGACACCTCCGTCTCCTCCTTGTCTGAGCTCGCCACAATATTAAACATATCAGGTCCCCATAAGGAGAATCATGTGCTAACGGCTGTCTAAATGACTCGGGTAAAGTTTGTAGCATGCATGTTTGTTGTATTTGTCTACTTCCACTTCTCTTTGCACTAGGATGATGTCGGCGTAAATGTGCAGTCATATTCGTTGTGTTCCCACTAGTGCTGTCAGCGTTAATATCGTTGAAATGACGTTAACGCCACAACACGGCAAATCTCCGTTAACGAGCTACCCCTGATCGCGCTGTGCGTGGGGCTAGACGGCCAACACGTTAACGAGCTAACTGCGCTAACACACTAGTTCCCACACATGTAATTGAGCATTGCGTGGCACATCCAACATACTGTTTTACTTTAGTCCATGACGCGCTTACCTTCAGGGTTATATCGTTATCGGGACAATATAACGATATATTGTTCAGATGAATGCAGATACATATCTGCAACAGCCGGAGTTTCCCACAAAACAGGGTCAAGGCAGGGTCTTTCATATTGTGAGAGCCATAAAAGGCTCTAGGCTTTAGGCAAATTTTAACGTTGACTAAAACTGAAAGTAGCTACTGATAAAAACTCCCGTTATCCCACCTTTCAGTTACTTTGATCTTACAAAAATCTGGTTTATCCTGTTGAATTAAAATGGTGTTCTACCAAAATCCAACCACTGACATTACAGGTTAGGTAGCTACAGTGTGTGTGTTGCAAAAGCATGCCCTCTAACAGTCACTCAACAAGTGGAAGATAGTCCTGCAGCCCAATCAGAGGACGTTACGTTTGCTGACGTTTTTGGTTTTTTAAAGAACGAATAATAGCACACCACAAAAAACGTGGAAAATAATTACGAAAAAATAAGGCAACAGTGTAATATATTCAGAAGAGTTTCAGATATTTTGCTATTTACATTTCTTAACGACAGCACATAGACGCAGCCATATTGGTGCGGGAAAGTCTTGTCTCTAGATGGCCTGGGAATGCAAAGACAGGATTCCATGTGTTATTAAAGCACTCATAATATTTTCATCTGTTTGGTTCGTTTAACAGAACACGTTGTCAGGGACGTGCAGAGGGGGGGGCTAGAGGGGCTTGAGCACCCGCCCCTTTCCTGATGAGTGCCCAAAGTGCCCTTTTGTTGAGGCAACTTTTAAAAAAAATTTTAAATTTTTTTTTAATTTTATGTGTGTGTGCGTGCGGAGTCCTGTCTGTGCCCCTCAACATATTAATCATAGTTTTGCTAAATAAAAGGATCTGGCTTGCATCATCACATCCTAGTGCTTATACAGATGATAAGCAGAGGGTGTAAATTTAAAGAATGTCTTGATAAGTAGACCAAATTACATAGCCAAAATCCAGTGATCACATGCTAATAGAATCAGACATCTTTTTACCCGAACCGCTCATTCTTAGACAAGCCTCTCTGGATTGGCCGCGTTAACGCGGACAGAACGTGATTCTCGCTGCTTGATTGTGGGAATCCTCGGAATACCTGTGGTTAAGAATACGAGCTCAGCATTTGGAGGCCTAGCCCTGGCGCGCATTTTGTGTAGCCGCTCAGACAAGGAGGACGGACCGACACCTTGGTAGAAACACAAAGTTACTTCAGAGACACAGGACTGGTCTTTGTAGGGACACAACCAGGGAAAGAACGGGGTTTGGTCTTGGCTGATCCGGTTAGAGCTAAGCCCATGGTTGAGCCACACATTGTGACGTTTAAATTGGATCGATCTGCAGAAGAACACCTTTGTTGTTCGCTAGAGCTAACTGTCAGCGCACCCAGGGGCATTAGCTGGCAAATTAGCTCGACACCCAGTTTCGGTAAGGGCTAGCTCTGATTTGGACAACCAGACAACACGAGTGCAGCGCCCTTTGCACTACGACCACACACGGGAGCTTTGCAGTGAGCACACGTCGTCGTTCAACAAGCGAGCGGACAGAGAAGCGATTACGTGCTTCACTCTTGAACTTAAGTACGGGCCACCAAAGTAGCCGTTGGGTAGGTATGGCAACATATAGGACAAAACATAATGTATCAACCTTATGATAACCAGAACCCGCGTTAAACAGCCAATGGACCTGGGCGGCTGTCCCTGTTACGGAACTTAATTAGTCTTTCAGCTGAGCAGTTTATAGCCCGATGTTTTAAAGAGCGGGGTAACATATTAAGTGTTATTAGTTAATGTGATAAGGGCTCTGTGGTGGGTAGCCTATTTGGCTGAGCACCACTGTTCAGGGACCAGTGTTCTCTGTAGATAAACTCATCTTTATCTATACAAGCTAAATAGAACGATAGATATTCCTTCCATTACTCAATATTAGGCACCTATTGGTTTTCCATCCTCACGTGGAATAAATATTTATTGAGGTGATGATGTTGGCTGCATAATATAGTTAAAACAACAAACAAATCTCTTGCTTTATTTTAATAGAACAATGGTTACTGCATTAAGGTGTGAAGCCAGAATCGTTTAGCTTACTATGCAACGAGTGTAATCAATTAGATATGTAGTAATTATAATCATTTCCAAGCACCAAAAGTGGACAGTTCAAGCTAATCTAAAACACTCTGAGAAGTTATAAGATGATTTTGCTTATGCGCCAGAGTAACCTCAGGTGTAAAATGTCTAGTAAGCTTTGCACCCGTTCTGCAATCGGTGATTGGTTTGGCTGATGTTGAAAACAATAATAGCAGGTCAATCATAAAATACTATATATTAATTTTTAGTTCTGGCTGAAATAAGCCATAATAAAGTACAAGATTCCCCCTCCTCGTACTTGGATCGTGTGAAAGATATGGTACTCTTTTTGAGTAAGTAATATGAAACAGCTCATAAGAAAAGAGCCATTTGACCATTAGTATTAAACCCCTAGTTACATTACTCTCAGAAAAAAATGATTAATGAGAGCATTTCTAAATATCTAGGTGCAAACCTTATAAGGCAAAAAGAAGGCAAAAAGAATAGTGTGCAGCGGTATGTGTTAGGTTTTTAATTTTAAGCTGAGGGTTTTGGTATTAAAAAAAATGGTTATCAAAAAGAATTTTTGTTTAGGTGCACTGTTCGATGAACAGACATGGTCATTATGAGCTTGAGCTAAAGGAATCTATCCGAGAGGGGAGGGAACAGGGAAGCTGGGGTTTGGTGGACACATAAGTGGTCCGGCAGCATTCTACTTAAGTAGCTGCGCATTCACGTGTCATAGGAAATAAAAACTATAAGCAGACACTTTCCTCAAGTTTACTATAGAAGTTGGCCCATTTTGTCTTGATACGTGGATTGAAGTGGGTGCTTTGGGCGTAAAGTTGTTAAGGTATTTGTTATAATAGTTTAAGAATGAGGTAACCTGACAAGTTATTTGGCTCCTTAGAACTCTTGAAGAGTCGAGAAAGCAAGCTCCATTGTTTTGTCCCAGAGTCCATCATCTCTAGACATGTAGATTAGACGCATAGGTTGGCACATCGTCAGACTACACATTAAAATGAATTGGGGAATAGGTGAATGGGAGAAGAAGGTTAGAACAAGAGATATCCATCACACGGAGGACAGGGAGGACCACGAGACTCTTATTTTCTCACAGGTTTCGCTAGTTCTTCGCACTAAATAGGGGTTTCAAGATATCTTGCAGGGCGTGAGTCGACTCGATGCTTTCTATGTCTTTCTCGATAATAACAATATTACTATGGAACTGCAACATTACCCACAGATATGTGGTTTGCGGAGATGTTTGCCTTCTTAGTGTTTAAATTTGAAACTTAACACTAGCTCTACACCTTATTGAAGAAACTTGGCGATGTTAAAAACATTTGCTGTTTTCTATCAGTCTCTGAATCAGAAACACGCCTGCCCTTATCCCCACTATAATAGATAATATTCTATGAACCGTGTTAAACTGGTGTGTTTGGTGTCAACTTCACAAGGTCAATACATCACGTTACACAACTACACACACACACACACACACACACCATCACTATTTCACACCACCCTTCATCACTAAACATCTCTTGCAA